CCCCAAAACCCCAAAACCCCAAAACCCCAAAACCCCAAAACCCCAAATATTTATAAGTTTATTGAAAATCAGTTTTAAACCCAAGATGAGTTATAACCATGATACTGAGTTTGTCAGTAAGTCCCTATAATGTTATGACCTCTGATTTTGCTGATTCTAAATCTCTCAGACTGGTTTGGAATTAAATTTTGGTTAAATAGAAGGAATGAGGATGCCTAGCAAGCTCAAAACAATGAAAATGAATGTGCATGAGATAAACTATCTGATCAGTCGGAAATTATCTAAAAGTATTACTATGAGATCATTCTTACAGAACCTGGGAAGTCTAAGGACAGTTGTAACTTCTCTGACAGAGTAAGTGCTTAATGTCATTGTAGAAAACCTCAACACAAGACATTGCTGCTAAGGAATATTCCCGAAATAAGGAGCTTATTAAGAAACTGAGGTATTTTGTGAATAATCCTGAAGAACTTTCAAGTTGAATGATAGTACAGATTCCGATGAAAAGTAAGCAAATTTTTTGGAATTTCTAAGAGAATTGACTCCCTTTTAGGCACTCTGAGGAAAGAAAAGAAGGAGTTGACTCAAACGATATGATAATTAACCGGTTCTACTCTAATAACGGAGGGAGTAGAAACCTGGCTTACTCGAATCACCAGTTGATATCTTGTTTAAAGACTCAGTTAAGGTATTTCATTATGACCTTTCTTTCATTCTTGCTTTAGTACTGAGGAAGAGAATGGAATCAATGTTAGCAAAAGCATATGAAGCTTAGGAGAGAGAAATTGCTTACCTTCAGACCTTGAGCCTATTCGTAATCCTACTCAGCAGCTGTCGTTTGAGTTTGGAGGAGAATCATTACAAAATAAACAGACTAGGTAAGCTTGGCATTTCAGAAGGAACCTTATTCTTCGACAATATACCTAAAGTCCGAGAAATTTCTGAGTATTTTTGCAAAATTAAAAAGTCAGAATTCAATTATATTTCTAAACCTACTACTTCCTGGCTTTAGAAGGAAAATATTTCAGAGTAAACACCAGTTTTTGATAAATGAAATTCACAAATTTCCTTTGATTTTTCAAAATTATAAAATGTATAACTACGTATTTTAGAGCCAATAAAACCAGGAGGCGTCATAGAAATATTAGAATTAGAGAAGAAGAGGTTGATGAAGATGATGATAAAGGTAAGGATTAACACAGAAAGTGTACATTCAATATCCTAATTTAGCCCTTCAGTTAACAAATCCTTTTAGTTAGAATTAGTGACAATCTTGAAAATCAAACTTTGGATGGTAAAACATCCCCCGGATACAAGGACATCAGACTGTTCCTCTCTACACAGATTGGTAAGATTGACACTAACTGTTTTCAGGGATTTCAAATCATCCAAGCAGACAGAAGTCCCAAAATGTAGTGATCTCCCAATCGCTGACAACAAAATAAGAATCGCTACAAGCCCGATGTGAAGGAAAAGAAGGTAACAATTCTCTCTTCCCTCCCTAAAACCCATATTCTCTAGCTACCCAAAAGACCCAGAGCTCATACCCAAATTCAGACAAGTGTCCACACACGAAAGCACACTGGGGCGACTGGGACTCCTAAATAAGCATACAATGACCAGGATCCCATCTGTCAAAAATTCAGAATCTGACTTGAAATCAGACCCTGAAATCGGTACCCAAAGTAATTTTTCAGCTAAAAGTAGTGTTTCCAAGTCTTCCAAAGAGATTAGTCGGGGATTGTTCCAAGGGCTGTCATAAGTACCATATCACAAAGCCGATCACTAATATCAAGGCCAGGACATATCTCAAAATCCTGAAGGAGAAGGAACTTAAACGTAAATAAGAAGCTTGAGCTCATCCGGGAGAAGATCAAGCAAGAAGAGAAGAAGCAGAAGGATACTGCGATAGAGGTTGTTCTTAATTTGAGAAAGCTTAATGGGGACCTTAAAACCGGTAGGAATGACACCCTCATTCCGCCCAATCTTAAGCTCAAGCTGAAGACAAAGAATCATCCGCTTTATAGCAACATTTTAGGATCAAAGCAGCCTAGGAGGGATAGTAAGTATTTTTTGGTGATTGGGTTTAGAATCGAAGAGAGATCCAAACGCTAGCGGCTCTATTAAGGAAATCAGGAAGAGAGTTTCATCACTTATTAAAGGCAAGAAGCCTGGTTTTGGGAGAAGGATGAAAAGTATGGTCGGAACGTAGGATTAGTGTATTTATGATGTAGATATGCTAACAGGAATATGATCAAAGAGTCTCGCAAAGCACATCAGATGGTTCTTGAGAGCATAGCCAATTCTTTTGGATCAAAATAAATAACAATCTCAAGACTCTTTGGTAACAAATATAATTAGTTTTACTCAATTTCAGATATATTTTAGGGGTTTTGGGGTTTTGGGGTTTTGGGGAG